AGTTTCATCTCCGGACTATTAGCAACCTTAAAAACACCTCTCTAATAGATTAACTAAATTTAGATACACCCCCGATTTATCACATGACATAACAAGTGGTCTCAAACACTTTTAGGAACATAGGGATCTTAATAAAAAGTTGAGAGATGTGTTCAAAACACCCCTAACTTGGTGATAATTTAGGGGTGTATTTCACTCATGTTGCAAGATCTGGAGTGTATTTTATTTCAGTTAATCAAGTTAAGGGGTGTTTTTAAGGCTGACAATACTTCGAGAATGAAACTAATAATTCACGCCGAGTTTAGAAGTGTTTTCAATACTTCTCTCGTATATATGAAAAATGGTAATACTACAACAAATAGCAACAATTTTATTATTACCGTAAAATCCATTATTTATCACAATGTAAACCAATTTTACAAGAAAGAGTGATTTTCATTAGCATTAATTAGTGCATTACTAAGGATGATGTTCTAGGGGAAATTGTTGGTAAGAATATATGTGGTGCAGTTAATTAGAGTGGTGTACTCTCTCGGTCAAGTCAAATTCACGCATTAAACTCCCATTCAATAAATATGTACTTCAATGAGAGGATTGTTTCAAAAATCTATTTATAACCCATAGTCAACTTTATTTGTTCGTTATATTAAAAAGAGAAGTATTGAAAATAATTAGAACTTGACATAAATATCCCTCTGTTTGACTAACTAATCTTGGATATATCCCCGATCACCGCCGATCTGTCACATAACATAGCAAGTCTTCTCAAACTCTTGTAGGAGCATAGAGAGTGTTAGAATCACCCCTAAACTTGACGAGAATTTAGGCGTGTATTTCACTCATGCTGCAAGATCGAAGGTGTATTTAAGTTCAGTTATTCAAGTAAATGGGTGCTTTTAAGGCTGTCAATAATTTAGGGATGAAACTAATAATTTGCGTCTAGTTTAGGAGTGTTCTCAATACTTTTCTCTACTAAAAATAAAGTCATCTTTATTTGTTCAATTTTAAAAATTAGGACAAAATTTATTACTTATGTCCTAAATATAATTACTCATATTATTAACCTAATCATTTTTCAAAATATATGTGCTAGTAATTTGTTAATATATACAATACAAATACTACATGTAAATATTAATTACTTCAAAAATACAAATATATAACATTTTTGTACAACCAAATCCAAATTATTGTATTTAATGTATAATAATAGAGAACTAAAAAGGCATTTTTATACATATTATATATAAGACAAATTAATAATTTGCTAAAAATAAGAGATTACCAAAAATACAAAATTTAGAAATATTATTGGTTGACGAAAAGTATAGCTCTATATATTAAGTTGGTCCCAATAGATAGGTAGAGAACAACTTGAAGATTTCAGCGTAGGGGCCATTTTATTACATAATATATTCGTCTTTTTATATATGACAAAATATACAAATAATTAAATACAAGTAGGTCAATTGATATGATTTTTGAGGGATTAAATATATTTAATTGTATATGACAAGATATTTTTGTCTTTTTCTTCCAGCAAGTTCTAACAAAACAACAAACAAGAAAAGAAAATGGATTTTTTGATAATATTTTTTGATTTGGAAAGAATAAAACATCTATAACTTTCGAGAAAAATATTATATTATATGTATTGGATGTTTTTTTTATCTGATTCAGATTTTGCTAATCCTTGCAGTGAGATTTGATATAATCATGGTGAAATGATAGCACTGCTCCACTACTCTTAATCAGAAATCTCAATTTTGAGTCATGAATATGGAAATTTTTTTATTGAGAGTGTTACCTTTAAAATGGGCTTTGTAATATGTGATTCACATTTAATTATAAGTCGGAGCTCTACTATGAATATCAAACGGCCATTAGGTGACGTAAGTTTTCAAAATGTTCAATGCCCTCTATCTTTACATAATGATGAATAAATTGCATTTACAGGGACTTTTATTAATGCCCTTAACGTATTACAAATGGTTTAAAAATGCCCTTCTTCCACCTATTGGATCAAAATTGCCCTTAACGTTTTTTTAGGTTTAAAAATGCCCTCTTTTGACAGAATTATGACATGACATTATTGGGTCAAATAATTAAACAATTGGCATTAATTTATTGATCCACATGAATTTTTAACCCACCCACATAAGTCATAACCGACCCGTCCATAGTGAACCAAGCTAGCAAACCCCAAAACAGTATATCCCGTCAATTCCTATTTTACACCTCCATTTTCAGATTTGTTCCCAATATCTCTGTATGCTAAAAAAAACGAAAGGTTTCTTTGGGTTTTGATCTTAGAATGTGATGATGGTAAGAAGGGAATATATGACTTAATAAGATGTGTTCTTAAGCTTTGAAAATAACTTTGATAAGAGGAAGACTGAAACTTCAATTTTTATACTTGGCATTTTAAGGTTAATTTACTAGAAGTATATTGGTTGTAATTTATAATGAATATAAATGGGTCTCATCAAAGGTCAAATAAGTTCATGAACGATTGAAGAGGAACTTTCACAGTAGTATCAGTATGAGCTGATATGGTATATGAATTCATCCTCTAATTATACCATTGATTTTTTTTCATAAGATTGGTTCCACGTATTTGGCCTTATTACCATTGAATTTTACTTCAATGATTTTGTGAGATATGTTTTAGAGTCCAATAAAAGGATCTATCCGAAGGACTGTAGATTTATACTGAAAATTTCAGCATGAGCAACAGATTTGAAAATAGGCGTAAAATGAAAATGAATTGATGGATTAGATTGTTTTGGGGTTTGCTAGCTTGATTCATTATGGACGGGTCGGTTATGACTTATGTGGGTGGGTTAAAAATTCATGTGGACCAATAAATTAATGCCACTTGTTTAATTATTTGACCCACTAATGCCATGTCATAATTCTGTCAAAAGAGGGCATTTTTAAAGCTAAAAAAAACGTTAAGGGCAATTTTGATCCAATAGATGAAAGGAGGGCATTTTTAAACCATTTGTAATACGTTAAGGGCATTTTTAACCCTTTTCCCTTGTCCAAAGGGTTTTTATTAATGTCTATTGCCTAAGCAAAGTGTTTATCTTTTCTCACTCAAATAGTTATCTTCTTTGTTCAAAAAATACAAAACAGGAAAGAATGCTAGTCGGCTCGATCAAGTTTTAGTAGAAAGAAAATTAAAAAATTTTAAAAATTTAATATCTCGAATATGTATATGGGTATATCTCAATTTAAAAGGTCAGGAAATAAAAAATTTAGGGAGTATACTGCTTTTTTTTTTTGTTCAATCAGTATCTTAATGCAGAAGAATTATATTCACGTATATCTTTAGTCTTGTCAAGGTTTTTAAATAAAAAGCAAAAAAATAGTAATGATTGACTTGAAATTTTACCAATAAAACAAAAGAACAAACGCGAAGATCGAACTAGGACAAAACTTTGAGCCCATAACTCTTGAATTCTTGAATCTCCGTTATATATAACATCAACATATATGATACATTGATAGTCTCTCCGTTCCCTTATAGTTGTCATGTTATATTTTTCGAAAGTCAATTTGGCTAATTTTCAAATTTAAAATTAGATTACATTAATTCAATATTTTAATCTAAATTTTTTTAGCTATTTAAAAACTATACGAAAAGTACTATAAATTGCAAAAAAAAAAAAAACATTCATATTAATATGATAAAAAAATACATTGTAAAATATTAGTCAGAGTTCTTATCGTTTGACTCTAAAAAGGGAAACTATGACTGTATACATTGAAATTTTGTGGACTCTACGAGACGTGTTCAATTCGAATTGGGACTCTAGAAGGTGTGTTCAGTTTCAATTAGAATTATTGGAGGCTCCTCAACCCTAAACCCTAGTTTATGCCTATGTAAATGGTACTAAATTCCCTTAAAAGGCATCTCAAAATATCCCATAACCTCTTGGGTATTTTTAAAGATCAAGATCTCGAATATTCCACAAAGGTCATGGAATATTCATAAATACGCCACTAACGGCCCTCAAATCATAGATAAATCTTAGGAGAGTAGAATCAAGGGAGGAATAGAATTGTACCCGCTATCTTGATGAATAAAATTATGTTTCTTCAGATTTTATTTGTGTGGTTTATTTAGTTTCCATATGTTTAAAATTTGTTGCAAACAAATTGGCACGCCCAGTGGGACCAAATCTGCCCTTCATCTCTTCTCTCTTAAATCAAATCTGAAAATCTGAAGTTGCAAAGGTGGAAGAACGAGTACTTCAAGCCTTGTCTTTGAGTTTCATCGAGTCTACACTCCGACAAGCCTTGAAGCAGGGCATTTGTAGACATTGAAATTTTGTGGACTCTACAAGACATGTTCAATTCGAATTGGGACTCTAGAAGGTGTGTTCAATTTCAATTAGAATTCTTGGAGGCTCCTCAACCTTAAACCCTAGTTTATGCCTATATAAATGGTACTAAATTCCCTTAAAAGGCACCTCAAAATATCCCATAAACTTTTGGGTATTTTTAAAGATCAAGATCTCGAATATTCCACAAAGGTCATGGAATATTCATATAGAGGTCTGATGAGAATATAAGTTAGTTATTACTGTTCGCTATTCACAAAATTAGTTAGATACAAGTTTGTTATAGTACTGTTAGAGTTAGTTACAGGAAGTCAGATTCTGTTTTAATTCTGTTAGTTAGTCTATCTATATATATAGATTCAGATGTAATAGTTACTTACTTTTTAATTCATTTTCAATGAAACAAATCTACATGTAGCTTTTCCAGAATCTTCTTCTTCTTCCTCCTTTCTCATGTGAACTCAAGGTTCATCAATGAAGGAGTTTGATTGTTCAATATCACAGTGTGTTGATTTTATCATGGTATCAGAGCTCAGGGCATAGATCTTGTTTCCTTTCCGCATCTACAATTGAGTTTCTTTTGCTGTTTCAATTTTGAGTTTCAGTTGTTGATTCCTCAAAATTGAATTTGTTTCTCGATCTATTTTCGATATGGTTGATCAACAAGTTGATCCAATTCCAAGTGGTTCTACATCCACGGTTAGGTTTGAGATTCCTAGTCCTTTCTATCTACACCCTTCCGAGAATGCAAGTTCTTCTCTATTGCCTGGAGTTTTCGATGGTACTGGTTATAGATCCTGGAGGAGAGCTGTTCTTAGGGCCTTGTCAGTTAAGAGCAAGACAGGTTTTATCAATGGGAAGGTTGTAAAACCAAATCTAGATGATCCTAGCTTCCAGCAGTGGGAGAGGTGTGATGATATGGTAACCTCTTGGATTCTGAATTCCTT